CTCATACAAGCAATACATACTTGGCTTTCAATTTCTTTTCAATCTGAAGATTATTGTCTTTAATCAGTGTAGTTAGTACATTTATAATTACTGATGTATTTGGGTTTAAATCTACCATCTCAATATTTTCTTTTTAAGTATTTTTTACTTTATTTTTTCCTCCCTTATCTTGTTAGTTTTAGATTCTCTTATTATTCTTTCAAAACTTCCCAGAGATTATAGAACACATCCCTGCCTTATATTAACCTCACATTTTAGGAACCTGAGAGGACTAACTCCTCCTGACTTATACATCTATGGTATATTTTCATTATATTTTAAATCCCACATAACATTATTATTTTACAGTCAATATTCACTTAGATTTACCCAAACATTTAACCTTTCTCTTGCTCCTCATTTTCCCTGCATCACTGAGCCTCCATGAAAATACCCTCTACTTGACATGTTCTGAGCCATCCGTGTTTCATCTCATGATTTCTGTATCTAAATTTTTGTTTAACATAATATTTTCCTGACTCTTAGGGACCAAGTTATTCTCTTACATTTTCTTCTATGAACTTTATAGTTTTACCCTTCAGATCTCAGTCACTACTGTACCAAATATAGGTAATTTGGATGGTTATTATTACATAGAAATGCTATTTTTTTCTCTCCATTAGGGAAACCACATTCTCCCAAACTGTTTACTAAACAATTAGCCTATTCCTTATTCTTTCTATCAGTCTATTTCTCAGTTTTTTAACAATACAAGGTTTTTGTATACAATTATTGTGAATTTTTAATATATTTGAATATTTGCCAGAGTAAGCCCTCCATTCTTTTTATTTTCCAAAGCTAACTCAGCTGTTTCTAGACCTTTATTCTTCCATATGCACTTTAGGGAGAAATTTTCAAGTTCCTCAAAGAATCTATTTAAAATCTTGATTCACATATGCCAAATTTATACATTAATTTGTAGATGACATTTTAAATATTATATCAACCGATCCAAGAGTGTGTAATATCTTACCATTTATTCAAATTATCTTCTACATCCTCTACTAGAGTTTTATAATTTTCCCCTAGTTTCTTAGTAAGTTATATTTCTAGATATTTTATAGTTTTTTTTCTACTGTGAATTTATCTATTTTTTAAATTATTTTCTAATGATTATTATTGGTGTAGAAAAATACTTCTGATTTTGATAAATTTATCCTGTGTGGAAAACTGTATTTTATTATATAACACTAGTTTGGTGATCAAGTAGACAAATTATGTTGATAGAACAATTTTATCTCTTCTCATTTCTTTTATTTTTTTTATTTTTCCTTTTTTATTGAAATTATTGGGGTGACACTGGTTAACAAAATTATACAGGTTTCTGGTACACAATTCCATAACACATTATTGTATACTGTATTGTATATTTACCACTGCAAGTCAGCCTCCTTCCATTACCATTTATCCCCCTATTCCTTCTCTTCTTCCAATTTCAAAACTATTATTCCTTTTTATCCTAATAATAAAAGCCCAGGGTTGTAACTTGTAACAATCTATTATGATCAATGGCTAACCAACTGGAAGTCAGTGCTGGGTTGTTGTGGCAACCTTCACAGCCACTGCCACATGCTGTGGGCTGGACTGGACTGCTCCCCGAACCCATAGGAGACCGGTGAGCTGCAGCTGGTGGAAAACAGTGAGCCCAGGCCAGGCCGCCCGGCAATCATGGGTAGAACAGACCAGGCTGAGCAGCTCTGCAGTCACGGGGTGAACAGGCCAGGCTGAGCATGGCCAACCTGTCCCGCAATCCCAAACGAAGACGACATTCTACTGACTAACCTGCACTAGGGACCTGTTCTGGTGCGTAGCGCGAGTCCAGGGCCTCTAGCCTGTAGCCACGGGAAGTCTCCCCCTCTCCAGAGTTAGGAGCACCAACCCAGGTCTACCCAGCGACCTAGTCCTGACTGAGGGGGTGAGTTCCTGCAAGCTGGGGTTTGATCCCTATGCATGATCAGTAGACCAGAGCCTTTGTTATTGCTGTGTCCAGATTTTAATTGGACAAATGCCCAGTGTCCTGGGTGCCAGCTTAGCAAAATCTTTTAGGAGGAGAATTCTGTCTGGGTTTCCTCAAATTCCCTCAGCCCCTATCATCCCTCTGTAAAGGCATAGAACAAGTAAGGCCCCTTATAAAAATCAGAGGTCTCCAGCAACGGTGGGCCTCTCTCATCACAGTCATTAGGACTGGATGGCATTTGAGTATTTATCTAGGCACCAAGACAGAGAAAGACAAGCTCAAGTCATGATTTATGCCCTTAAAAAATTCACAATTTTATTAGAGCAAATGGATGATAAAAGTAATATAAGGCAACAATACAGTGAGGAACAGAAGCAATTGCTAGGATGATTTTCCAATAATTAGTACAAAGAGTATGTGCTGTGAATTAAATTTTTGAAAAAAGTATGTGTGAAAGTAGCTGATTCATGAGTGTGGCATCCCTTCCTATTTTAAAGGAAGCTGATTTCTTATGAACTGTGTACTATGCTATGATATCTGAGGCACAGGACAAGGGAGGCCCTAAGTGTACTATGCTTTGACATTTGAGTCATTCTTTATTGCTCAATGCGATTTATTTCTGTACGCCTCAGTTTTGTAATAGTTTAATTACCAGAATAATACATCTTGCTATAAAATATTACTAGAAGATCAAATGATCAGGTGACATTTGTTGTTATTTTTCTATAAATGAACACAATCTCTAGTATGCTAAAGTGATAGGTTTTATAGAAATATTCAGATAGGAATACCTACGAGCTTGATTACAAGTGAGGCTTGCTATCACAACCCAAATTTATTGCTTAAAAAAAAGCAGGAAGCCAACTAGAAACTGAACCAAATGCAAGCCCTTAAAGGGCAAATGTAAATTGGGTAAGCTTTGCAATTACGAGAGCAAGAAGAAAAAATTCAGATGCAAGAATGAAAACCACACTGCATCCACTCTAAGTAGCTGTTAAAGAAAAAGAATGATATACTATGAAAATATTTAATACATATAGTAAAGACATTTGGATTTCAAAGAGGATTTCCTAGAGTAGGTGATATTTCAGTTAATTTATTTTATTTTTTAATATATATTTTTATTGATTTTTTTTTTTTTTTATAGAGAGGAAGAGAAAGGAATAGAGAGTTAGAAACATCGATGAGAGAATATCACCGATCAGCTGCCTCTTGTACATCTCCTACTGGAGATGTGCCCGCAACCAAGGTACATATCCTTGACCAGAATGGAACCCGGGACCTTTCAATCCGCAGGCAGATGCTCTATCCACTGAGCCAAACCGGTTTCGGCTCAGTTAATTTTTTTAAATGTGAAGAGGTTAGCTAGATAAGAAAAAGGTGTAGGGGAGTCCAGAATTGCAGAGGGTGAAGGCGGGGCTGAAGGACTCACACCTCCCACCCTTCCATGCAAGAATTTCGTGCACCAGGCCTCTAGTTTTCTTATATTACTGGAAGAATTATGTTGAACTGTAGAGAGAATTGTGATAAACCTAAATTTTTCTGTCTCTTCATTCTATCATCTCTTGAGAGGAGTGTGGAAAGATTGTTGATTTGTTTATTTCTCTCAGCAGTTATTTAGCTTTTGTTTGATATATTTTAGACTGCATTGTAGGAACATATCTATCCATGTTGACTATATGTTATGTTATACTTTCTTGATTATAATTCCTCTTTTGAATAGGTATGTTTCTTCTGCTATTTGTGCCTTTTAGAAAGCTACTTCAACTTTCTTTTATTTTGCCTAGTATATTTTTCCCATCCTTTTATTTTAAATTTGTCTCATTCAATTTTTTGTAATTCTTTTGTAACAAACAACATATTGGGAGAGTTTTCATAATCCAATCTGCTGTGTTCTTTTTGATAAAATCCATTTATATTATTTTCATTACCATTATATTGAGAGTGTTTCTTCATTTTCTTCATTCTTAGTTTTACACATACAATAATTCTTTCCTCCTTTTGTGCTTTCAGTTGAATAAAACTTTCTTCCGCTGTGGCTACTCTACTTCCCACTCTAAGACCCTCAAATATATCAAAAGAAACATTTCTATATAAAATATGAAACAACCCCAAAACATAGATCAGGAAGTGGTTTATCAAATACAATATAATTTGGGACGAGTTGAAGATGAATATCATGAGCCAATATATACTTCTCATATCCAAGCACTGTTGGATTTCCCTGAAAGAAATGAAGGTTTTAAAGATTTTTATTTAGAACAAAAATGAATGAGGGTGTAGACAATCGTGGAGAGATAGCAAGCATTTTTCTGAGGGTCCATTTCCATATGGAGGATGGAAAGGTAAATGGGATAAGAAGAGATTATGTGTACATGCCAGGTTCAATTTATCTGACTTCTAAATCAGAGAACTATAGAGGGATATAATGTAATTCTCAATGTTGGTTGAAGAGAAAGAAAGAAATCATCAAACAGATGACCATGTTATATTGAGAGTCACATGCATTGTCTGTCCTAGCTGATCTATTCATCTGAAAGGAGGGAATACCAGTGCTTAGGAGAGAAGTTTTTTGTGAGAAAGCATTGTGAGACAAGAAAAATAAACTTAACTATCAAATACCCATACTACTACCATGCATAATTCCAGTAACTTCAAGCTCTTACTATATTATAGCCATTATTCTTGAAGTTTTACAAACACTAAATCTTTCTATCCTCAAAAGAATCCCAAGAAGGTAAGTACTCTTATTATCTTGATTTTACAGATGAGGAAAATGAGGCTCACAGAAATTAATTAAATTTCCTATAGATATACAATTAGGGAATATAAGACCCAGAATTTGAACTCAGTCTGGTTTAAAGTTCAGACTTTTAACTATTTTGTTGTTACCATTCCCACATTAATGTTAAAAAATCGGAAAGCCCAGAAGGTACAAAGGATATTTATTTATTTATTTATTTATTTATTTATTTATTTATTTATACGAGAAATAATAACATACCTTGTACTGTAAGCTCTGCTTGAGCTTCAACTGTTTCATTTCCATTATCAGCTACACAAAAATAAGTTCCAGCATCATCCTCTGTGACATCACTGATCTCCAGGCTACCACCTGCCAGCATTACCAATCTTTGAGAGCTGCATAAAAAAATGTTTGATACATTTAAAAACTAGGAATATGAGAAATTTTTCACATAAAATGGAGAAAATACTTAAGCAGTATTATTATTTATATGGATTTAGATATAACTTCTTTTCTATCAAGGTTCACCTGGATATATCTAACATCATTCAAGGGCCATACAACTTTATCGACTTAAAAATTAGCTGCTAAATTTGGTCAAACATTAAATTAATTCACCACTAATGTCTTGACAGGGCCACACCAAATGATTTGGTGGACCTTACATGGCCTACCGGCCAGACGTTCCCCACCCTTGCTTTAGATGGACAGAGACTATATAAAATTATCAGAATTTAGTACAACTTGCTTTCCTCATATTTTTCATGCATAAATATCAGGAATGCAAATCAGAATGTGATAATGAATTATCTCTGACTCTTCTAATTATTCCCAAAGGACAAATTCCATAACCCACAGTACATCCACAACCCACAGTACATCTCTGCCTTCTTACTTTTGCCCAGTTTTTGGTTTTTATTATTTTACAAATTATGCAATTTTTGTTATTGTTAATCCTCACCCAATGATATTTTCCCATTGACTTTGAGAGTGGAAGGAAGGGGGGAGACAGAGAGAGAGACACACATCAATTGGTTGCCTCCAACCCAAGCCCCAAATAGGGTGGGGATTGAGCCTACAACTGAAGTATGTGCCCTTGACAGGAATTGAACCCACAATCCTTTAGTCGCAGGCAATGCTCTCTCCACTGAGCCAAACTGGCTAGAGCACAAATTATGTAATTCTGAAGTCTGGAATCAACCTGAATGTTTTTCCACCCCACTATGGCCATTGAAATAACTATTACAGAAGGCAAATGTCAGATAAGAAAGAGTAAGTCAGGGGATCTCAGTGCCTACTGAAAGTTTCCTATGGTGGCTCTTATAGGAAAGGAAGGAAAGGGAAAGAAAAGGAAGGGAAGGGAAAGGAAGGGAAGGGAAAGGAAGGGAATAGAGAGAGAAGGGCAGCTGCCAAAGAGCAGCTTCCTGGGTGTGGTGCCTGGGCATGATCAGCCACCATTATGCCATTATCCACAAGAATGCTGATCATGATAAAAACTCTCAACAAGGGGAAAGTACAAGGATCATACCTCAACATAATAAAAGCTATTTGTGATAAACCCACAGCCAACATTATACTCAATGGGCAAAAACTAAAACCATTCCCTCTAACAACAGGAACAAGACAGGGATGCCCACTCTCGCCACTGCTGTTTGACATAGTACTGGAAGTACTAGCCATTGCAATTAGACAAGCAGAGGAAACAAAAGGCATCCAAATTGGAAAAGAAGAAGTAAAGTTATCCTTATTTGCAGATGACATGATATTGTACATAAAAAACTCAAAAGACTCCATTAAAAAATTGATTTAATAAATGAATTTGGCAATGTAGCAGGATACAAAATTAATGCCAAGAAATCTATGGCATTTCTATACACCAACAGTGAAATTACAGAAACAGAGACTAAAAAAGCAATTCCATTTACCATCGCACCAAAAAAATTAAGATACTTAGGAATAAATTTAACTAAGGAAGTAAAGGACCTATATGCGGAAAACTACACGACACTGAAAAAAGAGATAGAGGAAGATGTAAAGAGATGGAAGAACTTACCATGTTCATGGATTGGTAGAATCAACATCATCAAAATGTCCATACTTCCTAAAGCAATCTATAGGTTCAATGCACTCCCCATTAAAATACCAACAGCATATTTCACTGACTTAGAAAGACCTCTCCAAAAATTCATTTGGAACAATAAAAGACACCGAATACCAACAGCAATCCTGAGAAAGAAGAGTAAAGTAGGAGGGATCTCAATACTAGACTTCAAACTGTGTTACAAAGCCACTGTTCTCAAAACAGCCTGGTACTGGCACAAGACCAGACATATAGATCAATGGAATCGAATTGAGAACGCAGATATCAATCAAAATCACTATGCTCAATTAATATTTGACAAAGGAGGTACAAATATACAATGGAGTCAAGACAGTCTCTACAATAAATGGTGTTGGGAAAACTGGACAGATACATGCAAAAAAATGAAACTAGATCACCAACTTACACCATACACAAAAATAAACTCAAAATGGATACAGGACTTAAACATCAGACGGGAAACCATAAAAATACTAGAAGCATCCACGGGTAGCAAAATCTCAGACATATGCCAAAAGAACTTCTTCACTGATACTGTCCCTAGGTCAATGGAAGCTAAGGAGAAAATAAACAAATGGGACTACATCAAAATAAAAAGCTTTTTTACAGCAAAAGAAACCATCAACAAAATAACAAGAAAGCCCACTGTGTGGGAGAACATATTTGCAAATGTTACCACTGAAAAAGGTTTAATCTCCAACATCTACAGACAGCTTATACAACTAAATAAAAGGAAGATGAATGATCCAATTAAAAAATGGGCAATGGACCTAAATAGAATATTTCCAAAAGAAGACAGAAGGAAGGCCAAAAGGCACATGAAAACATGCTCAAAGTCACTAATTGTCCAAGAGATGCAAATCAAAACAACAATGCGGTACCATCTCACACCTGTCAGAATGGCCAACATCAACAAATCAACAAATGACAAGTGTTGGCGAGGTTGCGGAGAAAAAGGAACCCTCATGCAATCCTGGTGGGAATTCAGACTGGTGCAACCAGTGTGGAGAACAGTGTGGAGTTCACTCAAAAAACTGAAAATGGAACTCCCATTTGACCCAGTAATCCCACTCCTAGGAATATATCCCAAGAAACTAGAAACACCAATCAGAAAGGATATATGCACCCCTATGTTCATAGCAGCACAATCTACAATAGCCAGAATTTGGAAACAGCCTAAGTACCTGTCAGCAGATGTTTGGATCAAAAAACTATGGTACATCTACACAATGGAATACTATGCTGCCATAAAAAAGAAGGAATTCTCATCATTTGCAGCAACCTGGATGGAATTGGAGAACATCATGCTGAGTGAAATAAGCCAGTCAATGAAAGAGAAACACCACATGACCTCATTCATTTATGGATAATAAAAAACATTATAAACTGATGAACCAAAAGATAGATATAGAGACAGTAAAAGCAACAAGCAGACTGTCAAATTACAGCAGGGAGGGAAGGGAGATCTGGGGGAGATAATAGATCAACCGAAGGACTTTTATACATGCATATAAGTACAACCAATGGACATAAAACTTTGGGGAGGGAGGGGGGCAAAAAAAAAATCAATAAAATATATAAAAAAATAATAAAATAAAATAAAATAAAATGATCAATCACACCCCAGAGAGGGCTTAACAGTAACCTTTAAAATGTTAACATTTCTTAACCAATAATAAAAGAAATTGGGATAAATAGCAGAAGCACCTACAAAAAAAAAAAAAAGAAAAAAAAAAAGAATGCTGATCATTACCAACCCAACTCTACCATGTGATTTAAGTCTATTTAAAGAGAATGAAGAGAAAGTTAAAAAAAATCCTATAATATCAAGAAAGAAATCACAAATCAATATCAAATTTTTATAAAGTGTACTAGTTTAGTTTATTTGAAGACTTTGGAGGTTACAATTTTATTTTTATTTTGAGGTTCTACATCTAAACTGGTTTTCATAGACAAATAGACAAATTTTTCTCTTAAATCTTAACAGTTACATTTTTGGGGGGTCTATATCTCTGCTTAGACATGTTCTCATCATTTGGCTTTTCATATAGAATTCCTGATGGGAAAAAGAAATCAGAGGGGCTGGGACCGGTTTGGCTCAGTGGATAGAGCGTTGGCCTGCGGACTGAAACACCCCGGGTTCAATTCCGGGCAAGGCCATGTACCTTGGTTGCAGGCACATCCCCAGTAGGGGGTGTGCAAAGAGGCAGCTGATCGATTATTCTCTCTCATCGATGTTTCTAACTCTCTATCCCTCTCTCTTCCTCTCTGTGAAAAATCAATAAAATATATGTTTTTTAAAAAGAAATCAGAGGGAATGACTATTCAAGTCTGTGCCACATTTATAATTCTCATCCTAAGTAAAGTGTGATTCTGGCTTAAATTTCAGTACACTGTGAGTTTGGGTAATTAGTCTTCCAAATCTAATAAACAAGATTAAGTTTCTGGACAAAGGAAGAAGAAAACCAGAATCAGGTTTCATATCTTCTCTAAGAAATACCCTGCAAGGTCATTATTAAATCTTATTAAGGTGGCCTTCCTATTAGAAATATCTTAATTGTGCCCTCAAATCCCAACTTTGTGTGATAGGACAGAGAAGCAAGACAATTTTAAATGGAATAGAGCAAGAATTACTGGGGCAAATAGGTTAAAAAAATTACAAACATTAAAATACGGGGGCAAATAGGTTTAAAAAATTACAAACATTAAAAGAGTGTACTTAATCCTTCGACAAAATCACTATTAAGCTTCAGAAACAGAAATAATGTTCACAAATGGAAAAATCAGCAATACATATATATTACACTCAGCTAAGAGGAACATAATCTGAAACCCTAGTTGGTATGGTTCCTTTGAAATAATCAAGACAGTATTGATCTCTAATAATTATCCTAAAAATATCCCTATGCCTCACATTTGCCATAACTGAGTGCCAGTACAGCAAAAATCAATCTTTCTTAATGGAGTTGATTTTAATCCCCTTAAAAGAAGTCTGAGAGGAAGAATATCTTTAATTTATTCACAAAACTATATGATGGCTAAGAGTAAAATGGCAATCAAGCCTTTACAATTCCAATTTTCAAAAATGCAACAAAAGAAAAAAATATATAAAAAACTATACCTTGTCCATGGACCCAATCTGAATGTGGCTGAACATAAGGGGATGTGTGTGTGTGTGTTCAATTTTTTTAACCTATTGTGTGTGTGTGTGTGTGTGTGTGTGTCCCTGAGTAGCCAGGTCAATTTAAGAAAGCTTGGTGTGCTAAAAGTACTTTTTGACTAAACGGAAGGCCT